AGTTTATCTGGGTTGGGTCTTGCCCCAAGGTCATTCTCTTTATTCCATTTAGCTTCAGGCATTTTTTTTTAAAACTTTTAAATCTCCTTTAAGCAGTGGATTTAGCTCCATTACACTTCCTGGTTCTTTTTAGCCTTAAACTATACATTTTCTATTTCTCTTTGTCCAGCTTGCTCCTTTTCATTATAGATCTGTGTAAGAGTTGTAGGGTCCAGAAATACAGGAATAAGATAGGAATATAGCAATAAGATAGCATCTGCTCAGGCTCCCAAAGCCCAAGAACCTGCAGGTCCCTGTTTCAGATGTGGTCAGGGGGCCACTGGGCCTGGGTCTGTCCAAACCCTTGAGAATCATTCTGATCATGCCCACAGTGCCATCAAGAGGGACATTGGACCTCTGACTGTCCTCATGTCCTTTGTGGCATGAGGACATCAAGCCCAGATGACCTTCCAGTCAACCTCCTAGGTCTGGCTGTGGACGACTGAGGGGCCCGGGCTGCCTTGGCCCGACCACCACCGTCTCAGACAGGTACCCTGTAGTGCAGCCATCACAGCACCACCATCATCCATTTCTCTTCTTCTCGACTCTGGGGCCACCTTTTTGGACCTGAGAGATTTTTGGGTACCCACCTCTCCTTCTCATTCCTCTATTGTTGGAGAAGGGAGACAGCTTTCCCAGTCTCACCAAACCCCATCACTTAGCTGTATTTTTAGGAGTATTCTCCTCATCCATCCCATCCTAGTGGTACCAACTTGTCCCATTCCCTTTCGTGGAAGGGATCTCTTGATAAAGTAGGGCCCCCTATTTCTTTTGCTCCCCCTATCTGCTTGACCCCAGGGTCGTCAGCTATCCCCCTTCTCCTTGTCTTCCGAACCACACACCTTTTCCCTTACCAGCTTCCCAGGTGTATCCATGGGTATGGGACACCCAACACCCCGACAGACAAACATCACCCCCCTGTCATTCAATTATAAAACCCTTTCACTCTCATCCAGGGAAAACACAAGACATAGCCCACCTGCCTGATTTGGGAAGTTTTGTCTGTCTGTTTTCTGTGTGCAGATGGGTCTGTTTTCTGATGTATCCATAAGTTTTGTTGTAAGCATGGAACCGAGACAGAAATCGGTCAGGCTCAGGTGGATGTATGAATGATGGTGGCCACCTCATGTTTTATTTCTGACTGGTCTTCTTTGAGTGTGTGAGCTTTCTGTGTTGATTGGTTTTGTTTTTGCTTTCTTTGCTGCTGCCAACCGCCAGTCACCACTGCTAAGGCTGTTGGTTAAACAGCACTACTTGTGGTTGGCCGCTGCCCGTGGCAGCCATGCTGGCAGAGGAGAGTGCTGATTGGAAGAATCACAAGCCATGGTTACCTTTTTAGAGCTTTATTGGGAGTGGGGGGAGAGAGAGGGAGAGAGAGGGAGAGAGAGGGAGAGAGAGAGAGAGAGAGAGAGAGAGAGAGAGAGAGAGAGAGAGAGAACAGATGGAAGGAGAGAGCGGAAAGAGAAGGGGAAAAGGGACGCACAGAGGGCCCGCTCGCTTTTTAGGCTGGGACGCCATCGCAGGCTGGTGACGTAATTAAGGACAGAATCCTTACAAAGGCTGCTTGCTAAGGCTGCTTTGATGGCCAGAGCTCAAAATTCATCTCTGTGCTTTCTGGTCACTGGATTCAGTTTATGAAAGAAAGGATTTAAAAATAATGCTTGTTTAATAAGGTATTAAAGCTATACCTCCATGCATTTGTATACAAGAATGTACCTCTGGCTGCAGCCAAACGTCTTACACACAAATCAAAGAAGTTAACTTTTGGGTCACCTATTACTGTCTTCTCTCCTCATCACCCGTCCCACCTTCTAACATACAAGGCTCTCCAGACACCCCTCCCTTCCTGAGTTCTCTCTCTTCAGGTAGAATTGGCAGAGGATGCCACACTTATGTTTCAGCCATGCTCAGGTCTCAATATTTCAAAATGACTAAAGTTGCTGGTTTGACTCTCTTAAGGCATGTATGGTTCATTTTTGTTTCTGCTGGCTTCTGCCATCAATCATACTTGGTTCCAAATTCTAGAGTCTGCTTTTTTAGCTAACCCTTCCCTCCACCTTTGCATCCTTCTCTTAATCCTACTAGTCATGCCCTGCCTGTAGGGTGAAAAGGGTCAAGGAAAAACAACCTGACCCTGACTTAGAAACAGGGATTGAAATCTCACCAATCCCTGATGTCCCTGAACACAGAATCCCACCAATCCCTGAGGTCCCTGAGCACAGAATCCCACCAACCCTTGATGTCTCTGAGCACAGAATCCCACCAATCCCTGAGGTCCCTGAGCACAGAATCCCACCAATCCCTGAGGTCCCTGAGCACAGAATCCCACCAATCCTTGATGTCTCTGAGCACAGAATCCCACCAATCCCTGAGGTCCCTGAGCACAGAATCCCACCAATCCCTGAGCATGAAATGTCACCAATATCCGAGCTTGCCCCAGAATCAGACCACCAAAATCACCTAATCCCAGGCACCCTGGAAAGCTCTCCTCCATTCCCCCCCAAGAACCCTATATAAGGTCTGTACCCTGTTCAGTTTGCTGCTGTTTCTCACCGGAGGCAGCCACCCTTCTGGGTTCTTCCTTCCCAATAAATCTCTTGAGTGAGGTTTAGTGTGTGGTGTGACATTTTCACCAGAGTGAAGCCCAGCTATGTATAACAACTTTTGCTTGGAGCCACAGCAGAGTGGAGTGGAACTGTAATACTTTCTTGCTGGGGAAATCTTCCCTTAGCGAGCAGAGTTGTTACACTCTAGGGGACCTGAACAGAGCTGTAACCACTTCACTGGGGAAACCCCTCCCTGCCAGGGCAGAGTTGTTACATTGGGGAAACCTTTCCCTGGAGCAGGGCTGAAGCTGCCATGCTTACAGTGACTTTGTGGTACTCCTTGGCTCCCGACTGCCAGGATATCTTTCCATCTGAGCTGCAATGCTTACACTGCCTTATAAATTTGTCTAGATTTCTTCAACAACAGATCCAAAAGATGTCTAACCAGACTTTTAATCAGTTGCTATTACAGGGTTACTGCCCCCCAGCTATGGAGCCAGAGGCCAGATTATATCCTGATGGTGAAGGTCAAGTTCACCCCAAGGACTTCGATACCACCAATCAACAGGGAGTAATCTAGAGATAACATTGCCTCCTTTCCCAATCCCTGATTATTTATCAATAGCAAGCAAAAAAAAGGAGTGAATGTAAGCCCCTGGAGGCTTGTGAGTGGCCAGGCTCTGCTCCTGAGGACCTCCAACTGCCAGGCTCCACATACAGAACATTCTAACCATCATGAGGGCTGGACCCAGCCCCTTCAGAAGCAGGTGACCAAGCTACATCCTACAGAGTAAAAAAGAAAGACGTGAAAACCCACCAATCCCTGGCCTTGCCCCAAGCTCAGGATTTGAAATCCCACCAATCCCCACCCTGAAAAGCTCCACCCCCCAAGAAATGCTACATGAACCCCTGATTTCTCCTCAGTTCTCTGCTGTTTCTCACCTGAGCAGAGGCAGCCACCCTCCTGGGTTTTTCCCTCCCAATAAATTGTTTGTTTGAGTTTGTTGTTTTGTTGTGCTGTGTGACTTTGTGGCATTCCTTGGCTCCCAACTGCCAGGATACCTTTCCCTTCAGTGTTGTAACACTTGCCCCGCCCCCCGCAGAGGTGTAACACTCCTTTTGGTAAAGCCTTTCCCCTCAGAGCTTACACTAGTCCTCAACTACCTGGAGAGCACCGTCTAATACTAACACTTCATCAAGAAAGCTCATATAAGGGTGAGATCTCAACAATTATTGTAGAGGACTCCAAAGATGAGAACCAGACAAATAGGCATGCTCCCGCACTGGACAGGATGGCGGGGTTCCTGTCCGGCCACCCCTCCGCAGCACTGGTTCTGCCCGCTCCGACATCTGGTGAGCCTGGGGTTTCAGGTGGAGAGATATTCAGACACACATTACTGAATATCTGATACACATTTTTCAAAGAGAAGCTGGAAACCAGTGGTAGACAGACTAAGTGTAGTACATACGCACTGTTAAAAGAAACTGGAGACTTTCTCAGTTAAGAGTTGTTCTGCTTAGCTGGGCATAGTGGCACTCAGGAGGCAGAGGCAGGCAGATCTCTGTGAGTTCAAGGCCAGCCTGGCCTACACAGTGAATTCCAGAGCAATCAGGGATATGGAGAGAGAGAGAGAGAGAGAGAGAGAGAGAGAGAGAGAGAGAGAGAGAGAGAGAGAGAGAGAGAGAGAGAGAGAGAGAGAGAGAGAGAAAGAGAGACCCTGTCTCAAACAAACAAACGAACGAACGAATGCACACACACACACACACACACACACACACACACACACACACACACACACACAAAGTTGTTCTGTGTGAGAATGCAAACAAGCCTTTTGCTTAAAAGGACATTTAACCTGAAATATGTCTAAAGTTGATTTCATTCCTACAGGGCCAGTTTAAGACACTGTGTGAGGCACTACTGTGTATGGTTTAAAAATCATTACATTTTATATCTGTGTAAACCTTTCAAAGAATACTTTTTTTTTAATAAGTAAGAAAAAGAAACTGGGTTTCTTTGAACTCAAGATAGACCCCCCCCCCCACGCCACTCAGCCACAAAATGAAGCTCGACTTTAAAATGTCCAAAGAAATGCAGATAACAAAATTGTTATTAATTAAGAGTAACCCTGGACCATAGGATATTAATTACATCATTTGCTTTTCTGCGTTCCCCAATGACTCTCTCCGACTGCTTGCTTGCTATCTGGAGTGTAATTAAGTATTCGGTTGTTGTGAACCTTCAGAGGAAATAAAAAAGTGTCATATGTACTAGGGATACACTAAAAAGAAAACATTGAGTTAAGGGTGCTTTGACAATACCGTATCGATCATATTATACGTGGTTTACATGCTTGGTTGTTCTTGACAGCCCGGCTACAGTTTGCTCCCAACACTCCAGCGCTTGTACCTATAGGTGCCACAGCAACCGCTCTGGGTCGGTTTGTAGAGGACAGTGTCCTCCTGACAGTCGCCGGTATGGAAAAACAAACAAAACCCAAACCAAACCAAACCCCAAAACCAAGCTCCTAGGTGGGTGCTACGTTGTAAGCGAGGTAACCATACTGTGTGCCTGCCTCCGTCACAGTGGCCGTGACGTCACGACCTTCGAAGGCGGTTGCATCCGGTTTGGGTCGGTTGCCCTGAAGACCGATACACAGAGGAACGGATCCTAGTGCAGGCAGGGAGGTGGCGGAGGTCCTGTTATCTGCGGACCAGCTGCGCCTGGCGGACCAGCTACACCATGAGCCAGCGGCAGGTGCTGCAAGGTATGGTCAGGGCGGGCGGGCGGGCGGGCACTCGGGAGGGTTGGCGCCGCGGGCCACCGGACGGCTCCACCGGGTCTCTCTCCTCAGTGTTCGAACAGTACCAGAAAGCCCGGACGCAATTCGTGCAGATGGTGGCGGAGCTGGCGACCAGACCCCAAAACATCGAGACGCTGCAGAATGCAGGTGAGCCTGCACCCCAAGTGTTGCCCGCCGTCCTCAGCTCATGCCCTGTTGGCTCTTACGGCCACATTGGCCTGGCCTAACTTGAGCTGTCCCTAATTTCTCATGCCCTCCGACCCGCCACCTCACCCTTAATTCCTCCTTGATCTCTTATCCCTTGAGCCCTGGCCCTCCCAGTCAGTCCCTGACTCCTATCTGCTATACCTCTGCCCCTCAGCTGGATCCCTTGCTTGATGAGTTTTTTGTTTTGTTTTGTTTTGTTTTATTTTGTGCCTGGGGAACCAGAGGAGACATCTCCAAGTTCCTCCTGTACAATCTCAGTCCCCTTAGGGGGTCTTAGTGATGAGGCCAAGAGGGTGTAAGGGCTTGGTGTTTTTATTTCCATTTTCACTGAAATCAGGCAGGTTGTCAGGATGATTCAAAGCAGTATAAACTGCCTGGAAGTCATTTTGCATAGATGTTAATCTACCCTAATCAGACCCACTTTACCCATGAGCCCTGTGCATTCCGATGTCCTAGTCCCTGCCAGGCACTCCTGTGGTTGATAGAGGTACGTCTTCCTCACACAGGAATCTGAACCCTGCCATTTCTGCAAGACTGGCTGTTAGCAGCCCCACAGCATAGGGACCACAGGCACCTGCCACCACGCCGTCTTTTTGTGGGTGCTGGGGACCCAAACCAGGTCTTTAAGTTAGCTCAGCAAGTAACTCAGTAAGCCATTTCCTCGCTCCCTCTTGCCATCTTTTGACCTTCTTAGGCTTCCTTACAATAGAGAAATTCCAGACAGATTCAGTAGTGCTTTTGGTCTTATTTAGGGAAAAAGGAATGTTATGTTCCTAGATCTGAAGTAGGTAAAGACCTGGTTTTGTAAAATCCTTATGAAGCTCTAGTTCTACTCCTTAGATTGAGAAAGTGTGGGAGAAGTGAGGCAGGGAAAGGGGGAAGTAAGTAGAGGGGGAGAGAGAGCGAAGGAGGGGACAGAAAGAGGAAGAGGGGACCTGGAGAAAGGACAGGGAGAAGAAGAGGCAGGGGGTGAAGGGGGAGAGGGACGGGGAGTGTCACTTGCCAGATCAAACATGAGCCACTAACTGAACCGTGAGATTGCTGTCACTATTTTGTCCTAAAAAATCCTTCTGTTTATAAGGATATCTTTTTTTCAATGATTTATTCTTTTTTTTTTCATTTTACATATCAACCACAGTTCCTTCTCCCCCCCTCCTCTTGCCCCTCCCCCTCCCCCCCACCACCATCCACTCCTGAGAAAGGGTAAGGCCTCCCATGGGGAGTCAACAAAGCCTGGCATATCAAGGCAGGACCAAGCCCCTCCCCACTGCATCAAGGCTGAGCAAGGGATCTCGACATAGGGAATGGGCTCCAAAAAGCCAGTTCATGCATCAGGGATAGATCCTGGTCCCATTGCCGGGCCCCACACACAGACCATGCTGCACAACTGTCACCCACATTCAGAGGGCCTAGTTCGGTCCCATGTAGGCTCCCTAGCTGTTAGTCTAGAGTTGGTGAGCTTCCACGAGCTTGGTTCAGTTGTCTCTGTAGATTTCCCCATCATGATCTTGACCCCTCTTGCTCATTTAATCCCTCCTCCCTCTCTTCCACTGGACTCCCAGAGCTCCGCCCAGTGCTTAGCTGTGGATCTCTGCATCTGCTTCCATCAGTTACTGGATGAGGGTTCTATGATGACAATTAGTGTAATCACCAATCTGATTACAGGACAAAGCCAGTTCAGGCACCCTCTCCACTATTGCTAGGAGTCTTAGCTGGGGTCATCTTTGTGGGTTCCTGGGATTTTCCCTAGCACCAGGTTTCTCCCTAACCTCATGATGGTTCCCCCTATCAAGATAACTCTTTCATTGCTCTCCCTCTCCGACCCTACCCCAACTCAACATTCTCAATGATTTAATTTTATTTCATGTGCATTGGTGTTTTGCCTGCATGTGTATCTGTATGTGGATGTTGGATCCCCTGGAACTGGAGTTATAGATAATTGTGAGCTGCCATGTGGGTGCTGGGACTTGAACCCTGGTTCTCTGGAAGAGCAGCCAGTGCTGAGCCATCTCTCCAGCCTCCTTATAAGGTATCTTTAAAACTAACTTACACACCCCTGTACCTTTCTGGTCCTTCTTTTGTCCCTGGGATTTTGGTGTTTTTTTCTCAGATATTTTCATTGGTAGAGCAGGTGAGGGAAGCAATGAGAATTGAGAAAGGATTTTTTATCTTTATTTTTAAAAATTTGAGAGAAGTATAGATTCATGTGCTCTTTACCATCCATTTAACTTCCTCTAGTGACATATGTCAAAATTTTATTATTACAATTATGATGCTGATATTGACAGAAATTTATTAATTTCATCCACATTTCCCCAGTCACACTATCTTCCGTGTATTTCATTCTAAGTAACTTTATCTCATGTGTATTCACCATCATTACACTCAGATCAGCATGCAGGACTCTTGCATTGTTCTTTGCAGTCACACCTGCTACCCTCCTTCTGTCCCCAGCTCTGGTAACCACTGAACTAGCACCAATTTATAAGATGTTGTCATTAAAAAAATTGATTGTTTTGGGGCTTGAGAGATGGCTCAGCCATGAAAAGCTTGTACTGCTCTTTCTGAGGACTGGAGTTTGATTCCCAGCACCAGATCAAAGGGCTAACAACCACCCATTACTCTAGCTCCAGGAGATGTGTGTGTATGTGCACAGGTGTGTTGTTGGTTGTTTTTTTACTCTTTTGGGGGGCCTGACACCCAGCTCCCAAAAAAATCACACATAGAGGCTTATTCCTAATTATGAATGTCTGGCCTTAGCTTGGCTTGTTGCTTGCCAGCTTTTCTTAACTTTAAATTATCCTGTCTACCTTTTGCCTCTAGGCTTTTATTTTTATCCTATATACCTTTCTTTATTTCTTACTCCATGTCTGGCTGTGTAGCTTGGCGGCTGGGCGGCTGGGTGGCTGGGTGGCTGGGTGGCTGGCCCCTAGAGTCCTCCTCCTTCCTCTCTCATTCCTTCCTCTTCTCCTCCCAGATTTCTCCCTCTATATATTCTCTCTTCCTGTCAGCCCTGCCTATCCTTTCTCCTGCCTTGCTATTGGCCATTCAGTTCTTTATTAGACCATCAGGTGTTTTACACAGGGACAGTAACACAGATTCACAGAGTTAAAAAATGCAACATAAACAAAAGTAACACACCTTAAAATAATATTCTACACAGGTGTGTGCTTGGGTGTGTTGGCCCAAAGTGTTGACATGGGGTTGATTCTCTTTACTTAAATAAAAATTTTAACTTATGGTTATTTTGTGGGGATATGGTGGTGGTTATGTGTTTTGTGTGTGTACAGGTGTGCATATGCCACAGTGTGAGTGTGCCACAGCATACATGTGGAGATCAGAGGACAACTTTAAGAGTTGGCAATTGCTGTGGCAGGCTTGATCAGGGTTTTTTTTTTTTTTTTAGAAATATTGGAGACTTTGGACTAAAAAAGCAGTTGAATTCTGTTAAGTGGGACTTAATGGGCCATCTTCTTAGGATCTTGGAAGACAGTAGTACTGAGAACAGTGTGGAATATGTAGGCCCAAATCAAGAGGTTTCAGAAGGGAACAATATTAGCACGTGGGCTAGAGACTATTTTTGTGATATCTCGGCAAAGAGTGTGGCTGCTTTTTGTCCTTTTCCTAAGATTCTGTCTGAGGCTAAATTGAAGCATTTTGGACTAGTTGTTTGGCAGAGGAGTTTCAAGACAGCCTAATATTGATTCTGTCATGTGGTTATTAGTAATCACTTTTAGGCAGATCTACAATGAAAAAGAGCAAGTGGGGCAAAGAGAAATGAAAATTGTACAGTTTGAGGAGAAAAGGAACACCAGGAAATTTAAACCAGGAGTCCTGGTTTGTGCTGAAAGAGATAAGGAGAAATGGAATAAAGGAAAATACAGTAAAGGGTAAAGCTGAGACCCCACCCAGCTAATCTTGCAATTTGTGAAAAGAACAGGTCTACAAAACAATCTATTCCTAAAGAGCAACAGCAAAGGAAAACTGATGGCAGATGTAATTAAAGGATTGGCCAGGCTCCATCCAAGCAGGCAAAGGACTTGGCCTCATCAGCTACCTGGTTAAAGAGGATATAGGAATAAAGTGTTTATGAATCTTCCTTCATGGTTAAGGAAAGCTGCTGAGGCCAGGTATTATTTCATTTTGAGAAATCTCTGTTCAGTTCCATAGCCAACTTTTATTGGGCTTTTGCAGGTTTTTTTGTATATTCTAGATGTTGTAACAAAACTTTTAAATTTTGTGAGGTCCCATTGTTAAGTGTTCTTTTTTATTATTTTTATTTTTAAATGAAGTAGAATTACATCACCTTCCTCTCTCTCTTTCATTCCTACAGCCCCTTCCAGGAACCCTTCCTTGAATCCTCCCATGTTCTTCCCAAATAGCCTCTTTTTCTTTGATTATTATTATTATTACGTGTATCTATGTATGTGTTTCTCAAAAATATATTAATACAACCTGCTGAGTCTGTTTTTGTTGTTTGTGTGTATGTGGTTTCAGGGCTGACAACTCTGCATGGGACAACAAGTAAGGGAAGAGGCTAATTCTTCTCTCAGCAGTCAGTTGTCTTGTCTAGGAGTGGGACCCTTCAAAATGTTCTCTCTTCCGTATTTACATGTCTACTGATATTATAATTTTTATGATCCTGTTTAAGCATCCATTTCTAAGAGTGACTGTTGCACAGCAGATTTTCTGGTATTTAGGTTCTTTCAGTCTTTCCATCCCCTTTTCTACAACATTCCCAAGTCATACAGGAGCCATAATGTACATGTATCAGTTGAGTGGACCTTAAGTCCAATTAGACAGCTCTTGGTTACCACTACCATGTGAGTGCCACTCATTGCACCTTTATGGCCCCTGGGTGTTGCAGCTGAGTAGGACTGTTTAATTGCTTCCCTACCTTAGCAGCTTGCATAGTATTTTCTGGAATAGTATAGTTTCTG